CAAAACTCTTCAGAGTATAGGGATAGAGGGTACATACCTCAATATCATAAAAGCCATCTATGAAAAACCTACAGCAAATATCATTCTCAATGGGGAAAAGCTGAGAGCTTTCCCCCTAAGGTCAGGAACGCGGCAGGGATGTCCACTATCACCACTGCTATTCAACATAGTATTAGAAGTCCTAGCCACAGCAATCAGACAACAAAAAGAAATCAGGGCGCCTGGGTGGCTCAGTTGGTTAAGCGACTGCCTTCGGCTCAGGTCATGGTCCTGGAGTCCCGGGATCGAGTCCCACATCGGGCTCCCTGCTCAGCAGGGAGTCTGCTTCTCCCTCTGACCCTCTTCCCTCTCGTGCTCTCTATCTCTCATTCTCTCTCTCTCAAATAAATAAATAAAATCTTTAAAAAAAAAAAAAAAGAAATCAAAGGCATCCAAATCGGCAAAGAGGAAGTCAAACTCTCACTCTTTGCAGATGATATGATACTGTATGTGGAAAACCCCAAAGACTCCACCCCAAAACTGCTAGAAACTCATACAGGAATTCAGTCAAGTAGCAGGATATAAAATCAGTGCACAGAAATCAGTGGCATTCCTATACACCAACAACAAGACAGAAGAGAGACAAATCAAGGAGTCGATCCCATTTACAATTGCACCCCAAACCATAAGATACCTAGGAATAAATTTAACCAAAGAGGCAAAGGATCAGCACTCAGAAAACTATAAAATACTCATGAAAGAAATTGAAGAAGTCACAAAGAAATGGAAAAACGTTCCATGCTCATGGATTGGAAGAACAAACATTGTGAAGATGTCAATGCTCCCTAGAGCAATCTACACATTCAATGCAATCCCCATCAAAATACCATCCACTTTTTTCAAAGAAATGGAACAAATGATCCTAAAATTTGTATGGAACCAGAAGAGACCCCGAATAGCCAGAGGAATATCGAAAAAGAAAAGCAAAGCTGGCGGCATCACAATTCCAGACTTCCAGCTCTATTACAAAGCTGTCATCATCAAGACAATATGGTACTGGCACAAAAACAGACACATAGATCAATGGAACAGAATCGAGAGCCCAGAAATGGACCCTCAACTCTATGGTCAACTAATCTTTGACAAAGCAGGAAAGAATGTCCAATGGAAAAAAGACGGTCTCGTTAACAAATGGTGTTGGGGAAATCGGACAGCCACATGCAGAAGAATGAAACTGGACCATTTCCTTACACCACACACAAAAATAGACTCCAAATGGTTGAAGGACCTAAACGTGAGACAGGAGTCCATCAAAATCCTAAAGGAGAACACAGGTAGCAACCTCTTCGACCTCAGCTGCAGCAACTTCTTCCTAGAAACATCGCCAAAGGCAAGGGAAGCAAGGGCAAAAATGAACTATTGGGATTTCATCAAGATAAAAAGCTTTTGCACAGCAAAAGAAACAGTCCACAAAACCAAAAGACAACCGACAGAATGGGAGAAAATATTTGCAAATGACATATCAGATAAAGGGCTAGTATCCAAAATCTATAAAGAACTTATCAAACTCAACACCCAAATAATAATCCAATCAAGAAATGGGCAGAAGACATAAACAGACATTTTTCCAAAGAAAACTTCCAAATGGCCAACAGACACATGAAAAGGTGCTCAACATTGCTTGGCATCAGGGAAATCCAAATCAAAACGTCAGTGAGATACCACCTCACACCAGTCAGAATGGCTAAAATTAACAAGTCAGGAAATGGCAGATGTTGGCGGGGATGCGGAGAAAGGGGAACCCCCCTCCTACACTGTTGGTGGGAATGCAAGCTGGTGCAACCACTCTGGAAAACAGTATGGAGGTTCCTCAAACAGTTGAAAATAGAGCTAGCATACAATCCAGCAATTGCACTACTGGGCATTTACCCCAAAGATACAAATGTAGGGATCCGAAGGGGTACGTGCACCCCGATGTTTATAGCAGCAATGTCCACAATAGCCAAACTGTGGAAAGAGCCAAGATGCCCATCGACAGATGAACGGATAAAGAAGATGTGGTATATATACACAATGGAATGTTATGCAGCCATCAAAAGGAATGAGATCCTGCCATTCGCAACGACATGGATGGATCTGGAGGGTGTTATGCTGAGTGAAATAAGTCAATCAGAGAAAGACATGTATCATATGACCTCACTGATAGGAGGAATTCTTAATCTCAGGAAACCAACTGAGGGTTGCTGGAGTGGTGGGCAGTGGGAGGGATGGGGTGGGTGGGTAATAGACATTGGGGAGGGTATGTGCTATGATAAGCGCTGTGAATTGGGCAAGACTTGAATCACAGATCTGTACTTCTGAAACAAATAATGCAATATATGTTTAAAAAAAGAAGAAGAAGAAGAAGATAGCAGGAGGGGAAGAATGAAGGGGAGTAAGTCGGAGGGGGAGACGAACCATGAGAGACGATGGACTCTGAAAAACAAACTGAGGGTTCTAAAGGGGAGGGGGGTGGGGGTATGGGTTAGCCTGGTGATGGGTATTAAAGAGGGCACATTCTGTGTGGAGCACTGGGTGTTATGCACAAACAATGAATCATGGAACACTACATCAAAAACTAATGATGTAATGTATGGTGATTAACATAATAATAAAAAAATTTTTAAAAATTTAAAAAAAGCATTAGATAGGGAAAAAAATCGACAAGACCAAGTATTAGCAATAATGTGGAGTAACTGTAACTCATACAATTGCTAGAAGGTATTCTACTACCATGGAGATCAGTATGGCAATTTCTTAGAAAGCTGAACATAAATTTACCATAAGACCCAGCAATCCCACTAGTAGGTATCTTTCCAAAGTAAATGAATATATGTGTTCACAAAAATATTTGTGCATGAATATTCGTAGCAGCTTTATTCATAATAGCTAAAAATTGGAAACAATCCTAATGTCCATCAACCAATCCATGGAGGGATAAACAAAGTTTGGTGCCTGTTCTTAAAGTTGCATTGATTAAAGGGGGAAAAGAAATATATAGGCAAAAAATATAAGTGAAAATTTGATTTGGAGTTTAGGGGTATTATATTAGAGAAGGTGCTTTCTGAGGACTAAGTGTGCTCTTGGTCAGTTTTCAGAATATTAATGCAAGTGATTGTGCTGCTTTTAAATTCTACCCCAGCAGCCTGGTTGATTTGGTGGAATAGAGCAAGTGTTGATTTAGGAATCTGATAGCTACAGTTTTCTGTCTCATACTAACTTTGTGACTTTAGGCAAATATCCTAACTTTTCTGAGGCTCAGTTTCTTTGTGTGTTTTTTTTAAGTCATAATAACTTTACAGAAGATTGAGATATAGTATATGAAAGCACCCATCCCATTACATGGCTTGGTAGATACTCATTAAATTCAGTTTTCTTTCCTTCCCTGAGTGAAAGAGAGATTAGAGAGGTTAAGAGATCAGATCAAAATGATGGGTTTGGAGGAGAATACTTTTAAATCTTTAAGTTTCTGTTCTAATGCTGTCAGTAGAGTTTAACATCTGAGTACTCTAAAAGAGCATTGTACCATTTGAAGAATACTCATTTTTTCGCGTTTTTATGATGTGGGGAGGGAGGATAGAAATACAACTGTAATAAAAATCATGGGAAATTGTTGATTTCCTATGCTCTGTTTCACAATTAAGAATTTCATATTCTGTTCTTGAATCTCATTGTGATCTCTGTAATTTGTACCTCGTTTTACAGCTGACGGAAATGTTGAACCCAATAAACTAATGAATAAGTGAAAGCTGTTACATGTGAGAAGTTGATGTAAAACTGAGATACTATGCTTTCAAAACATATTTTTGCAACAGACTAATTTTGTGATGATAAAAACCATGCAAAATCTCAGAAAAAACTCTAGTTCTAGAGTAAGAACGAAAATGTCTTCCATTTTCTGAATCCATATACAGTGCAAAGCACTTGATTAGATTGATTCCAAGACCATCTTTCACATCTGGGAATGTTCAGAAAGCACAACTAAAAGATGGAAAAGGAAATGAATGAAAGGGCACTGTATATCCTTCCCACATTTCCCATTCATTCCTGTATTCTGACACAGCCCCATAATACTACTGAAACTTCTCTCACGGCACCAGTAACTTGCCATTTGCCTGTTGCATTAGACATTATTCACTTTTTATTGGCGCTTTCTACTGTCTTTTATATTCGTGATAATACTAACCTTCTTCAAATTATGCTCTTTTGGCTTTTCTGTGTTGTTCTCTCTGACCTGGATCTGCTCATTCTCTGATTTCCATTTTACATACTCTCTCTGGATAATCTCATCTCTCTCTCTGTGGTTCGATCTGTCATCTATATGCTTGTGACTGTAAGTCTGTATTTCTTGTATAGTCTTCAGACTGGTATATCCAAATGCCTGCTAGACAGTTCCACTTGGATATTCCATGGGAGGCTTCTTTTTTCTCAACACATTTAAAACTGAATTCACTATTTTCCCACCTAGTCTCCTGGTCCTGTATTCTCAATCTCATTTGTGCTGTCATTGTCCATCTAGTTACCTAAGCTAGATATATGGGATTCATTTTTGAGTCCCTCATTTCCTATCACCCATTATCTGGATTATCACCTAATTTTGTAAGTTTTACATTTATAGAAACCTAAATTTAAAAATCACCACACACAGTTGAGTAGATGGATAGATTTGTGACAAACCAAGTAGAGTAAAATGTTAAATAGTAGAATCTAGATGGTGGACATAAGGGTGTTTATTGCACAATTCTTTCAACTTTGCTCTATGTTTACAAATTTTCATAATAAAACATTGAAAAAAATCCCACATATAAATCCATCAATGTCTCTCTGTCCCTGCTACCACTGCCATATTTTAGGTCAATCTCAGAAAACTAAGAATTATGCAATTAAAATGAGCCCAAATAATGATATGGAATGATGGAATTTAGCTCGTTTCTGGTTTATTGTTTTATAATTTTTGAATGAATCTGCTTTGTATCTCAGTTATGCCTTATTTTATAGCTAAAGGGAAGACTGATCTGAAAACACTGATGGATACAGTGCAAGATATTACAGGTCAGTGAGAAGTTACTGTAAATTTGAGATCCCAATTCTTTAAACTATATTTTTTCTATGATAAATATTTTACTGAAGTATGAAATACATTATTACTATATCATATAATCATGTGAGTCCAGCTTAAGAATTACTGCAAAGTGAACATATCTATTTAACTATCACCTGGTTAAGAAATAAACATTATCAATAATCCAGAAGATCTCCTATACCACTTCACAGTCACTTCCTCCATACTCTCTGGTGGTAACTGCATCCTTTAGTCTAGGACCACAGATTAGTTTCACCTCTTTTTGAAATTTGTGTAAATGGAACCATATGATTTGTGTTCCATGATGTCTGACTTCTTTAACATTATAGTACATGTTATTCTCTGAGATTCATCCATATTGTTGCATGTAGCAGCAGTTTGTTAATTTTCATTGCTTCGTGTTATAAAATCTACTAAATTATCGTCAAAGAGATCTTTAGAGAACCTGCCGTAGTGGCTGAAATGATTTCTAACTAACTCATTGTACCTGAATACATTGCTGTGCAATATTCCACTGTATAAGTATACCACAATATACCTCTCCAATCTACCATCACAGCACATTTCCAGGTTGGAGCAGTTATGAAGAACATATTGCTATGAATATTCTGTATATGCCTTTTGGTGAACATATGTGCATAATTCTAGGCCATATACCTAGAAATGAAATTGCTTTGTTATAGAATAGGATTGTGTATACTTTGTTAGATATTGTCAATCCATTTTCTAAAGTAGTTGTACCATTTTATACATCAACCAACAGTATATGAGTTTCAATTGCTTTACATCCTTGCTAATACTTCTCTCTTCTCCATTTTAGCCATTTTGGTGTGCATGCTGTAGAATCCCACTGTTACAGTTTGCATATCCCTAGTGTTTAATGATGTTGAGCACCTTTTTCATGTTTATTGGTTATTTGGATACTTCTTTTGTAAAGTTCCTTTCATGTCTGTTACCTGTTTGTCTGCTTGGATGTCTGTGTTTTACATATTGAATTTTTAAAAATATTTATTTTTTAAATTCAAATATAATTAGCATAAGGTGTTATATTAGTTTCAGGTGTACATTATGGTGGTTCAACACCTCTATATATTACTCACTGCTCATCATGCTAAGTGTACTCTTTAATCCCCATCACCTATTTCACCCATCCCCCACCCACCTCCACTCTGGTAACCATCAGTTTGTTCTCTATAGTTAAGAGTCTGTTTCTTGGTTTACCTATCTCTCTTTTTTCTGTTTGTTCATTTGTTTTGTTTCTTAAATTCCACATATGAGTGAAAACATATGATATTTGTCTTTCTCTGACTGACTTTTTTCACTTAGAATTATAGTCTCTCTCTCCATCCATGTTGCAAATGGCAAGATTTCATTCTTTTTATGGCTGAATAATATTCCATTATGTGTGTGTGTTTGTATGTGTGTGTATCACATCTTCTTTATCCATTCATCACTTGATGGACACATGGGCTGTTTCCATAATTTGGTTATTATAAATAATGCTGCAGTAAACATAGGGGTGCATATATCCTTTTGAATTAGTGCTTTTGTATTCTTTGGGTAAATACCCAGTAGTGTGGTTACCGGATCATAGGGTAGTTCTATTTTTAATTTTTTGAGGAACCTCCATAATGTTTTCCACAGTGGCTTCACCAGCTTGTATTCCCACCAACAGTGCATAAGGTTTCTTTCTCTCCAGATCCTCGCTAACAACTGTTGTTTCTTGTGTTTTTGATTTTAGCCATTCTGACAGGTGTGAGGTGATATTTCATTGTAGTTTTGATTTGCATTTCCCTGATGATGAGTGATATTGAGCATCTTTCCATGTGTTGGCCATCTGTATGTCTTCTTTGGAGAAATGTCTGTTCATGTCTTCTACCCATTTTTTAATTGGTTTATTTGGGGTTTTTTATTGTTGAGTTGTATAAGTTCTTTATATATTTTGGATACTAACCCTTTATTTGATATGTCATTTGCAAATATCTTCTCCCAGTCCATAGGCTGCCAACTTCAATCCTTTTGAATTTGTTGAGACTTGTTTTGTGGCCTAATGTGATCTATTCTGGAGAATGTTCCATATGCACTTGAAAAGAATGTGTGTTCCACTGTTTTTGGATGGAATGTTCTAAATATATCTTTTAGATCCATCTGGTCTAATGTGTCATTCAAAGCCACTGTTTCCTTGTTGATTTTCTGTCTGGATAATCTATCCATTGATGTAAGTGGGGTGTTAAAGTCCCCTACTGTTATTGTATTACTATTGATTTCTTCCTTCATATCTATTAATAGTTGCTTTATGTATTTGGGTGCTCCCATGTTAATGTCTAAATATTTACAATTGTTTTACCTTCTTGTTGGATTGTTCCTTTTATCATTATGTAATGTCCTCATTGTCCCTTGTTACAGCCTTTGTTTTAAAGTCTATTTTGTCTGATATAAGTATTTCTACCCCAGCTTTTATTTTTTCACTTCCATTTGCATGATAAATGTTTTTCCATACCTTCACTTTAAATCTGCATGTGTCTTTAGGTCTGGAATGAGTCTCTTGTACACAGCATATAAATAGGTCTTGCTTTTGTATCCATTTCATCACCCCATGTCTTTTGATTGAAGTTTTTTAGTCCATTTACATTCATAGTAATTATTGATAGGTATGCACTTATGACCATTTTCTTACTTGTTTTATGATTGATTTTGTAGTTCTTCTTTGTTCCTTTCTTGTTCTGTTCCTTTGTGGTTTGATGGCCTTCTTCAGTGATATGCTGGAATATCTTTCTTTTTATTTTTTGCATTTCTATTACAGGTTTTTGATTTGTAGTTACCATTAGGTTTATATATAATATCTTATGCATATAGCAATCTATATTAGTTTGCTCGTTGCTTAAGTTTGAACCCATTCTAAAAGCACTAAATTTGGGGCACCTGGGTGGCTCAGTCATTAAGCGTCTGCCTTTGGCTCAGGTCATGATCCCAGGGTCCTGGCATCGAGCCCCATGTTGGGCTCCCTGCTCAGCAGGAAGCCTGCTTCTCCCTCTCCCATGCCCCCTGCTTGTGTTCCCTCTCTCACTGTCTCTCTCTCTGTCAAATAAATAAATAAAATATTTAGAAAAAAAATAAAGCACTAAATTTTTACCCTGCCCTACATTTTATATATATAATATCATACTTTACGTCCTTTTATTTTGTGAATCTCTTGACTGATTTTTATAGCTATAATTGATTTTACTGCTTTTGTGATTTAACCTCCATGCTGGGTCTTTTTGTTTGTTTTTTTAAAGATTTTATTTTTTATTTATTTATTTGACAGAGAGAGCCACAGCGAGAGAGGGAACACAAGCAGGGGGAGTGGGAGAGGGAGAAGCAGGCTTCCCGCTGAGCAGGGAGCCCGACGCGGGGCTTGATCGCAGGACCCCGGGATCATGATCTGAGCCAAAGGCAGACGCTTAATGACTGAGCCACCCAGGCGCCCCCATACTGGTTTTATAAGTGATTAATCTACTACTTTTGTTATGTTTGTATACACTTGTGAAATATTTTCCTTTCCTAATTTTCTTGCTCTTGATTATGGCCTTTCCTTTCTAAAGAATTCCTTTTAACATTTCTTGTGAGGCTAGTTTAGTGGTGAGGAACTCCTTTAACTTTTGTTTGTCTGGGAAACTATCTTTCCTTCTATTCTGAATGATAGCCTTGCTGTATAGAGTATTTTTGGTTGCAGGTTTTTTCTTCTCAGCACTTTGAATCACTCCCTTCTGGCCTGCAAAGTTTCTGCTGAAAATTCAGCTGATAACTTTATGGAGTTTCCCTAGTATATAACTGTTTTCTCTTGCTGCTTTTAAAGTTCTCTCTTTACCACTATTTTTTGCCATTTTCATTATTATATGTCTTGGTGCGGACTTCCTTGGGTTGATTTTGTTGGGGACTCTCTGTGTCTCTGGATTTGTTTCCTTTCCCAAATTAGGGAATTTTTCAGCTATTATATCTTCTAATAAATTTTCTGCGCCCTTTTCTCTCTCTTCTTCTGGGATCCCTGTAATGCTATTGTTATTATACTTGATGGTGTCACTGAGTTCCCTTAACCTATTCTCATTTTTTATTATTCTTTTTTCTTTCTCCTATTCAGCTTAGTTGCTTTCCATTACTGTCTTTCAGCCTGCTGATCTGTTCTTCTGCTTCCTGTAGTCTACTTATTTACTCTAAAGTGTTTTTAATTTCAGTTATTGAGTTCTTCATCTCTGGTTCTTTTTTATATTTTCTATCTCTTTGTTGAAGTTCTCACTGAGATCCACTGATGGTAAAAATGTCAAAGTTAAGCCACTCTGGTTTTTAAAGCCAAATGTTATGGAGATTTGTCTTCACAGTGCTGGTTCCCTATGTCTAGGGTGCCTGGTACGAGGTCTAGTCCTCTCCCTTGTCTGTGCTTGTGGTGTCCCTCCCATTTGTCATTAGTCTTCCTGGGAGTTTGGTTCCAACCACATCTCTGCCTTCCTACCATTTTTTTTTCAGTGTAACCTCTTCTCTTCAATTAACTGTGGAGGGTCTATGCTACCAGTCTTCAGGTCATTTTCTGAGTTAGTTACACTGATGTGTGGATGTATATAGGTGTATCTATGGGACAAGGTGAGCTTAGGATCCTCCTACTTCACCATCTTCCCTGGAAGTCCATGTTGAATATTTTATTTATTGTCTTTTATCTATAGTTTTTTATGTATTCTGGATACACATCCATTGCAGGTTTTATAAATTGTAAATATCTCACTGTGTATTTTGCCTTTTCACTTGTATTTTATCTTCTTTTTTTTTTGACAGAGAAAATATTTTTAAAATTATTCAGTCCATTTGGTGTATTTCAAAAGGTATAGCACTTTTCTTCATTTATCAGTGAAAGAAGTTAGAAGTGAACTTCAAAAAAATATCAGCAAATGGCAAACAAATTTCCTTGAAAATCACAGTCACATATATAGCACATCCTAGAAAAGAGGAGGGGTAAAACAGGTTCCACCCACTTTCATGAGTTTCATCAAGTACTGGACCTACTCAAGGGTGGAGAGCAAGGCAACTTTCAAAGTATGTTATTGAGGCATTTACTATACTCCTTCCTAAGAGCACCAGTTGGGGAATAAGTGTTCTAAACTAGATCTAGGAAGTGGAATGTGAAATCAATCCATCCTCCTCCCCTTAAGGGCTGTCCAATGGTTCATGAATTTAAAAAACATTACTAAATGAAAACAACCCCCCCACACACACACACTCTCTCTCTCCACCAAAAAAGAAAAAAAAAACCCCAACCTAGATGTTCCATGTTATTCTCCAGTGTAGGTGGAGCCTGGGAGCAGCTTCAACAACACAAATCAGTCTATTACAGAGTCATCACAAGCACGCCTTGCTTTTAAACAAAAAAATACTTTTGAAATGACAAAACAAAAACCAGTACTAATCACTTTTCTGACAATACACAATTATTCAGATTAACTAGTATTGAGGGGGGAGGGGGACCATATCCATAGATCTTGTCTCACATGAGTGTATGTGGGTAGGTGCAGGGCATTGGTCATTACTGCAAAAACAAATTTTAATTTTTCATCTTTAGTTTGATTTAACATTACTTTTAGTACGATGCTGACACCAGCTGTGCAGAAGGACTCTGGAGAGATGTTCATAGCAGTGTACACCTGTGGCTCTCTGGTTCTGGAGGCTCCAGGCAGCCAGTATTGCCTGGTCAAATACATTCTTTAAGGCTTTCTGTGCTAGTGCAGAATACTCCACATACTTGACCACCTTCAGGTCATGGGCCAGCTTTTCAGCAGTCTCTGGAGTGACAGGCTTCTGTTTGTTCTTGGCAAGTTTCTCAATCATAGAGGACTCATCTCTAAGATCAATTCGGGTCCTGACCAGCAAGAAAGGAGTCTTTGGACAGTGGTGAGTTATCTCAGGCACCCACTTTTCCTTCACATTTTCAGATGAGGATGGAGAGACCACTGAAAAACAGACTAGAAATACATCTGTTGGTGGATAACTCAGTGGTCGTACTCTGTCATAATCCTCTTGCCCTATAGTGTCAGAAAGTCCAACAGCGTACGGCTCTCCACCAATCATAACTGTGACTGCATAGTTGTCAAAAACAGTCAGCACAGGGGCACCTAGGTGGCTGTCAGTTGTTAGGCATATGCCTTTGGTTTGGGTCATGATCTCTGGGTCCTGGGATTGAGCTCCCTTTCAGCTGGAGTCTGTTCTCCCTCTGCCTCTGCTACTCCCCTATGCTCATGCGAGAGCTCGTGCTCTCTCTCTCTCTCTCTCTCTCTCTCTCTCTCTCTCGGATACATAAATAAAATCTTAAAAAAAAAAAACAGTACATACTCAGATGGAAATTTGTTCATTGTGTAGAATATCAGAAGACACATTTTACCACAGCACCATCATCCACAACAATGCACTTTGATTGTCTCCACTTTAAATATTTCAAGTTTGATGGTGACCTCAGCTTCCCTGCCAGGATGCTGGCAGCAGTGCACAGGGTCTCCTGTTGTATTTTATCTTCTGATGAACAAAAGTTTCCCTTTCACATGTAATTGAATTAGTCAATCTTTTCTTTTATAGTTAGAGTGTTTGGGGGCTTGTTTGAGAAATCCTTGCATACACTAGGGTCATGAAAACTTTTCCTATTTTATCTTCTGGGAGTTTTGTTATTTTCCTTTCACATTTAGATCTATAATCCACTCAGAATTGATTTTTCTATATGATATGGAATAAGGGTCACTATTTTGTTTCTTTTTTTTATATTCAGTTAGCAAACATATAGTACATCATTAGTTTTTGATGTAGTGTTCAATGATTCATTGATTGTGTATAACACCCAGTGCTCATCACAACACATGCCCTCCTTAATACCCATCACCCGTCTACCCCCTCCCCCCACCCTCCTCCCTTCTGTAACTGTCTGTTTCTAAATGGATATTCAGCACTATTTATTGACAAGATGATCCTTTCCCTACTTTAATGTAAGGCCAACTAAATGTGTTGCATATATCTGGGCTTTTCATTCTTTTTGTTCTTTTTCTTTGGTCTATTTTTTGGTCCATAGCTTTAATATGTCTTGGTATCTGAAGCGTAAATCCTCCAAATTTGTTTTATTTCCTTAGACTTCTCTTGGCTATTCTTGGTGATGTCCTTTTTGTCATTAAAAATATCTGTTATTTGTGCTTTCTCTCCTTTTTTCCTTTGTCGGTCTTAATGCAGGCATTTACCACTTTTGTTAGTCTTCCAAAACCCAACATTGGCTGTATTCATTTTATTTAAAGTTTGTTTTTCACTTTAGTAATTTCTGCTTTTGTCCTTATTATTTTTCTTCTCCTTTTGGGGGTTTTAATTTGCTGTTCTTTTCGAACTTCTTGAGATAGAACCTTGGGTTATTGATCTTTTCATCTTTTCTACTATATGTGTTTAAGGGTGTAAATTTCCCTCTGAGTACACCTTTGCAAGTTTTAATATGTAATATTATTATTGTTACTCAATTCAAAATATATTCTAATTTCCAGTGTGGTTTTTTTTTGGACACATAATTTATTTAGAGAGGGATTCTTTAATTTCCAAACTTAGAGGATTTTTCTAGTATCTCTTCCTATTGATTTCTAGCTTAATCTCATACCCTATTTTAAACAGTTATTTGTACCAATCATCTTTATTATTCTAATAATTTTTAAATTATATGAACCTTAATTGTGAAATATTATTTTATAACCATCATTATGGGAACATCTCTTTTACCAGTGTTAAAGAAATACTATTCATTCTCTGTGTCTGCCAATTGACTGCTTGTTGTTTAGCAGGTATCATTATGCCTTATTTCTCTTTAATAATTTGAAATTATGATATTTAAAAAATGTTATCTTTTTCTGCTTCTTTTGTTTTGAAGGAGGAGAAGTTGACTTCAGTGAGCTGGATAATGTCCTGCAAAAAATGGGGATAGAGCCCTCACATAAAGAACACTTGGAGCTAAATAAGTCACTTCCAGTTAATGGTGGGCATTTCAACTATCAGAATCGTCTTCAAGAGAGTTCATATTGCCTGCAACAGAGTTAATATAGTCATAAAGGGAGTTTTTCAGAATTGCAAGTATCGGGTAGAATCTTCAGGGAATTAGGGTTATATCCTTAAATTATTTTATTATCGAATACTCTGCTTATTTCAGATCATTTATAAGTTAGAGTTTAAAAATAGCCATAATTTTAAGGGTGATTATTTTTAATATATAGGAATACATAAATTTCCATTTAAAACATGTAAATCAAGAGGCTCATCAATCATAATTCTTGCCATTTAGAATAAGGAATATTAATAGTTATTTTTCATTCCATTGAGATGCCTTTGGTTAAGACCTCTAGGAAACAGGAGGAGGAGGAGGAGAGATGTAGAGCTATAATAGGAGAGGGAAAAAAGGTGGACTCAGAAAAAATACAACATATGGAAGTGTTTTGCTTTGGCATGGTAGGTATTAATAATTGTCTCAGGTGCTAAAGAAATGATAGATTTACCATATATATTAAGAATTTTGTTTACACTTTTTAATATTTCTAGAAGATATTAGGTAAATTTTAGGAGCAAATTATATTATGCTCTATATTTCTGAACTTAGATATTTGGTATTATTTTAGCATGTCTAGATATTTTCTCTATGACCTAAATTATGTGTTTCTTCCATCTACAGCTAGTATAAATGTATATAAAAATAGGTTGCTGACTTGTCCAAAAGATATAATAGGTGAGTAAGATGCAAATTGAGAAGTCAGATTGAGACTCTTGTGTTTTGCCTTTTTTCTTATTAAATATTGCTTCCTGCCATTCTCACATATATTTCCATAATTAGTTTTAATATATATGTTCGTATTGATGAAATAATTTTGTTTTATATTTAAAAGATGTTCTAAATATTTAGGTTTACCTCAACTTTGGATGTGGAAATAATAAAATGTAGGCCTAGCTATAAAAGTTTAAGATAGTATATCTTGAAATACAGTGACCAAACTCAACTTGATTTGTATAGATATTTATATGAAAAACTGTTAGATTTGCTGTTTTGCTGCCAAAATTAACCTGAATGGTTTCTCAGCCCTATTTCAATGTATTGTTATGCAAGCTTATCTTCAATATTAGATGTATCAGATATAAATGAATGGATTAATTTTAGTCCATTAATGACTCTCTTTAAACACTTAAATGTCCTTAACCTCTTTTTACAATGAAATTAATAACTACTATACATAGGAATTAATATTATATTTTGACTTTTATTTTAATTTCCTCAGGTCTTTCTTTTTTTATAGGGTTGCAGGTTGATGACCATGACCTTGACTCTATTCTTGAAAACATGGCAATCAAACTTACAGCTGAGGAACTTAATGATCTTACTCCAACTCTACCAGTTGATGGTGAGTGATTTAGGTATCATTGTACCTTCCTGAAAAGGAAGGTACCTTCCTGAAAATTTGGGTTTTGAGGCTGATATTTTTTATAGGACTTATGTAGCTGAAATAAGAATGATTTTTTCTCTTAATATAATAATCTAAAGTTGGTACTTTTTCACTATTCATTTATTCAGCAAATATTTACTGAGCACTGTATGTCAGGTGTTATGCTAAGCGCTAGAGATAGAATGGTGAATAAAAATAAACATAGTCCTTGACCTAAGGAGCTTAATGTCTAGTATATCACAATTCTTAGTATTCTAGTTGAAGCTGAGAATGTTGCTTTCACAGGAACAAGGGCTACAGGGTTTCAGCCAAAATGTATGACATTTTTCCTAGTTATATATAGGCCATATCCTTGGACCAGATTTCATGATTCAAGGTCAGAATTATAGATATTAAAGAAAATATTAATTAGGATTGAAGTGTGATGAATCACAGAGTAATCCCCACTTTAAATAAACTGAAATAGAATATGTTTAGCTGGGCACAATCCAATGAGATCAAGAAATATCACCTAGAAACATTTTACTGAATACTGCCTCTTACACGTAAATATGTTTTTTTCATATGATTCAAATGCTATTTAGTTATATCTTTGCCATGGGTTTCCATACCCTTCTAATAGGGTGAGGTTTTTTTCCAAAAGATATTTTTTATTAAATCATTCCTTAATTTTCTAGTACTGTTGTGTACCAATGAAAAATATGTAGTTTTTTATTTGCTTATTTTCTTTATGCTTTTAAGTTTTATTGGGATATCAGGAAAAGATAATTAGGTGAAGCTATCAATAATTGCCAGATAAGGTAATTTTTAGCTTCTCACCTAGTTTAGTTAGTTTAGAAACTCACCTGGGGATGTCAGATAAAAGGCAGAGTAAGAGCCACCAAAAAACTCTCTCTTCCATAAAAGCAGTGAGAAAACTGGCAAAAATTATCAAAATTAACATTTTTAGGACTGGACATTAACCAAAGGTTTGCTGCAATCTGAGGAGCATTTTTTAAGAAAAAAAGACTGAATCTCTGTAAGAGTAGTAGGCTCTGTGATGTTTTAACTTGCCATATTCCCATCCCCTGTCTTACAGCTCCATAATAGTCTTGAAAAATAACACTCTATATTTGCAGTGAAAACTAGTAGCCTGGAAGCCACTGGAGGGAACAGTGGGGAGGCTGGAGCTCTTTCAAAGCCTTATTCCCTAAGAATTGTCATTATCTGGTCTGTTTGGTGGTTCTTTGGAGTGAGGCTTTATATCTGTCACCCTTCATGTATGAATTAATGAATGGAGAATTAATGAGTGTGGAAAGATGAATCAAGAGATGAACTGAAATAAGCAGAAAAGAATAAGAAAAAAATAATTATTTGGAGTAATAAAGAACTAATAGCTATTGCTGCAATGGTAGAGTAATAATTAGTCACCAGCCATTCTGAAAGGGACACTGATTAAAGAGAAGAACAGAAAGTACATTAGTAAAAGATGTGAGATGAGAATTCTGGTCTTTACTTAATTTTTTTTATTATGTTAATCACCATACATTACATCATTGGTTTTTGATGTAGTGTTCCATGATTCATTCTTTGCATATAACACCCAGTGCTCCATGCAGAACGTGCCCTCTTTAATACCCATCACCAGGCTAACCCATCCCTCCACCCCCCTCCCCTCTAGAACCCTCAGTTTGGTTTTCAGAGTCCATCGTCTCTCATGGTTCATCTCCCCCTCCGATTTCCCCGCCTTCATTCTTCCTCTCCTGCTATCTTCTTTTTTTTTTTCTTAATATATAATGTATTATTTGTTTCAGAGGTACAGGTCTGTGATTCAACAGTCTTTCACCATTCACATCGCTCACCATAGCACATACCCTCCCCAATGTCTGTCACCCAGCCACCCCATCTCTCCCACCCTCCACCACTCCAACAACCCTCAGTTTGTTTCCTGAGATTAAGAATTCCTCATATCAGTGAGGTCATATGATAGATGTCTTTCTCTGATCGACTTATTTCGCTCAGCGTAATACCCTCCCGTTCCATCCACGTCATTGCAAATGGCAAGATTTCATTCTTTTTGGTCTTTACTTCTTTTACTCTTGGTACCTGCATGAGTTTTGTGTCCCTGCCAGAACTGAAAGTTTCCAGAGAAAACATGGACAGCATGAATTGCCCGAAGAGTCTATTTTGCTAATACAGACTGAATCCTAGAAAGCCTGAAATTAAGAATTGAAAATGCACTCAAATTAAATAGTGGAAATACTGGACTCTGCCTGGAGTTTTTTCACAGCATAGATACTTTATGTTTTTATTCTAAAGCTCTGTCTTTTTCTGGATCCCAACTTAGCCTTTTTTTTTTTTTTTTTTAACAGCTAATGGGAAGTTTGGTGTCAGTATCTTAACAGATGGAATGGATGGAGTAAAAGCTATTAGAGGTAACATCTTAGAATAACACCTAAGAGTAAGGTGCTACTAGAAATCTGAGAACCAAATTATTTTCACTAAGTAATATAATGCTCTTTCCACATCATGATTATATGGACTTTAAAAATCTCTCCCTACACTTCTTTAAAAAAATGTTTATATATAAATGCGTACAGTTAGATGCTGGATTATCAGAACTTTTAGCAATAAAACTTCAGTGCTCTTTGTTGTTTCCAAAGTCATTATCTAGAGTCTTTGCCAATAATTAGCATATCTTCTTTCATGACAGGAAAGCTAAATTCCAGTTCAACACAGTAAACAGTGAAGGAAAATTTTGGTAAAGTTAGAGGTAATCTCAAAATAAAGCAATAAAAATGCTGATAAAACTATTTAGATCAGCAATCTGTATCATTCTAATTTCCTGCAAAGTTTATACTTGTAATTGCATGTTCTGTTGCCTTGCCTATCATTTGGAGATTATATTAGACTTAACAAGAAAGTTTATCTGAAGACCCAAAGGCCCATTTGTTTGGTTGGGTCTCTTTTCATCCAGCAGTTGGCTGTAATGCTGCAAAGACAATTTTTTTTTATTTTATTTATTTTTTAAGACAATTTTTTTTAATTATATGGAATCATGACATCATTCACAATAATGCCAGAAGTCTTCATTTCTTTTGCTTTGAAGGAAAGGTTGATGTCAATGACTTGAAAAAAGTTCCAGGAAACATGGGGAGAGAACTCAAAGATAAGAAACATGGGGAGTTGGTGAACAATCTGCCAATCAATGGTGAGAATTTCTGTAACAATTCTATTTCCTATCTAAGTAAAAATGAAAGAATGTCCAAAAAAATCTTTAAAAGGCATTACTGTTTTATCTTAAGAAGAAATACCAACTGTGTCATCTCATTTTTAGTTTGTGAATCAGTTGGCTCTTGTCAGAAATCCTGTGACCATGGATGAGAAATGCTGGCTATTATTCTTGAATCCATTGTGAGTCCTAAAGTTTAAAATGAGAATTAAGAGAAAAATGGAGGCATTGAAAAGTATTCAATGGAAATAAATGAGAAATCACAAAGAATAAATGAATGGGGAGTGTTCAGCATGCTAGAGGCCCAGCAATAGAGGCCCATAATGAAGAGTGGCTTATTTTTTCCATTTCACATATTTTTTAAAATTATTGAGAGTACAGTTGTACTTTAGGGATATATAAAGTCTGACTCTGAAATGATGGCTTGTCTGTTGCCTTAATGAATCTTCATATCATTTTGGCGAGATTTTGATTTGTATCTTTCTTAAAGCTGATAGAAAGATCTATCAGAATAGGCTAATGGATGGCACGAAGGCCTTTTTTTTAGTTTCTTTATTTTTAATTGAAGTATAGTTGACATACAATATTAGTTTCAGGTGTACAACATAGTGATTCAACAATTACACACATTACAGAACTACTCACTGTGTTAAATGTAGATATCATCTGTCATCACACAAAGTTATTACAATATTATTGACTATATTCCCTATGCTATGCTCTTCATCCCTGTGATTTATTTTCTTTATAACTGGAAGCTTGTACCTCTTAATCTCCACCTGTTTCACCTATCCTTCACCCACCTCTACTCTGGCAACCACCAGTTCTCTATATATTTGAGTCTGTTGTTATTTGTTTGTTTTATTTTTTAGATTCCATATGTAAGCAAAATCATATGGTATTTGTAGTTCTCTGTCTCACTTATTTCACTTAGCATAATACCCTCCAGGTCCATCCGTGTTGTCATTAATGACAAGATTTCATTCTTTTTTATGGCTGAATAGTATTCCATCATGTATATATACCCCATCTTCTTTATGCATTCATCTACCAATGGACACCTAGTCTGCTTCCATACTTCGCTATTGTACAAAATCTGCAGTGAACATAGTACACGTATATCTTTTCAAATTAGTGTTTTCATTTTTTTCTCATAAATACCCAGAAGTGGACTTACTAGATCATATGGTACTTCTATTTTTAGTTTTTTTTATTATGTTGTGTTAATCACCATACATTACATCATTAATTTTTGATGTAGTGTTCCACGATCCATTGTTTGTGCATAACACCCAGTGCTCCACGCAGAACGTGCCCTCTTTAATACCCATCACCGGACTAACCCATCCCCCTACCCCCTCCCCTCTAGAACCTTCAGTTTGTTTCTAAGAGACCATAGTCTATCGTGGTTCGTCTCCCCCTCCAATTTTCCCCCCTTCATTCTTCCCTTCCTGCTATCTTCTTCTTTTTTTTTAAACATATAATGTATTATTTGTTTCAGAGGTACAGGTCTGTGATTAAACAGTCTTACACATTTCACAGTGCTCACCATAGCACATACCCTCCCCAATGTCTATCACCCAGCCACCCCATCTGTCCCACCCCCCACCACTCCAGCAACCCTCAGTTTGTTTCCTGAGATTAAGAATTCCTCATATCAGGCGCCTGGGTGGCTCAGTTGGTTAAGCGACTGCCTTTGGCTCAGGTCATGATCCTGGAGTCCTGGGATAGAGTCCCACATCAGGCTCCCTGCTCAGCAGGGAGTCTGCTTCTCCCTCTGACCCTCTTCCCTCTCATGCTCTCTATCTCTCATTCTCTCTCTCTCAAATAAATAAATCTTAAAAAAAAAACGAATTCCTCATATCAGTGAGATCATATGATACATGTCTTTCTCTGATTGACTTATTCTGTTCAGCATAATACCCTCCAGTTCCATCCACGTCGTTGCAAATGGCAAGATTTCGTTCCTTTTGATGGCTGCATAATATTCCATTGTGTGTGCGTGTGTGTGTGTGTGTGTGTGTGTGTATAGATATAGATATAGATATAGATATCTATATATATACATACCACGTCTTCTTTATCCATTCACCTGTCAATGGACGTCTTGGCTCTTTCCACAGTTTGGCTATCGTGGACATTGCTGCTATAAACATTGGGGTGCACATACCCCTTTGGATCCCTACATTTGTATCTTTGGGGTAAATACCCAGAAGTACAATTGCTGGATCATACAGTAGCTCTATTTTCAACTTTTTGAGGAACCCCCATACTGTTTTCCAGAATGGCTGCATCAATTTACATTCCCACCAATAGTACACAATGGTTCACTTTTCTCCTCATCTTCACCAACACTTATTATTTCTTATTTTTTTGATACTAGCCATTCTGATGGTGTGAAGTAATACCTCATTTTGGTTTTGATTTGCATTTCCCTGACAATGAGTGATGCTGAGCATCTTTTCATGTGTCTGTTGGCCATCTGTATGTCTTTTTTGGAAAAGTGTCTATTCAGGTCCTCTGCCCATTTTTAAATTAGATTATTTGCTTTTTTGGTATTCAGTTGTATGAGTTCTTTATATATTTTGGATTTTAACCCCTTACTAGATACATCATTTACTAATGTCTTCTCCCATTCATTAGGTTGTCTTCATGTTTTGTTGATAGTTTCTTTTGCTGTGCAATAAAGGTCTTTAGGAGAAGGAAGGGAAAAATGAAGGGGGGGGAATCAGAGGAAGAGATGAACCATGAGAGACTATGGACTCCAAGAAACAAACTGAGGGTTTTAGAGGGGAGGGGGGGTAGGGGGATGGATTAGCCTGGTGATGGGTATTGAGGGCACATACTGCATGGAGCACTGCGCGTTATATGAAAACAATGAATCGTGGATCACTACATCAAAAACTAATGATGTATTGTATGGTGACTAACATTAACATAATAAAATTAAATTAAATTTAAAAAATAAAGAAAAAAGACATAAGATATTAAATTTTGATACTTGCCACCTTTCAAATACTTTGATAGCACATTTATGCTTCTTTTAATCCATCTGTACTTTTGTGGACAATCTACATTATATCTTGGGGGATGGAGTTCCATAATTTATAGAAGGTTTACAATTTGTGGCAAAAAAGAAAATAAGTCTAGTCTGAAGAGTGATTAATAAACAAAAAATTAGGGTGCCTAGCTGGCTAAGTTGGTTAAGCATCTGCCTTTGGCTCAGGTCATGATCTCAGGGTCCTGGGATCAAGCCCCACATTGGGCTTCCTGCTCAGCTGGGAGTCTGCTTCTCCCTCTGCCTCTGCCCCTGCCTGCTCTCGTACTCTCTCTCTCTCACTCTGTCGCTCTCAAATAAATAAATAAATAAAATATTTTTAAAAAATAAAAAATTAGTAATGGTTAGGGAAATTTACTCAGAAAAAGAAAAATTTCCCTGGGTATCATCAACAACAACAACAAAAAATCACACTTATTAGATGGAAGTATGAAATTTGTTATCTCCACAACTGTATTTCACTGAGCAGTTCATCAATTTCCTTTAATACTTTCTGCTATATGGATTGATCAAGGGAAGAGATTTTATTCTAACTCTATTATTGAACATCTTTTAAATATCAAAGAATTTAGTTAGCTATTGTCTTTATGCTAAAACTTATAACTATACAGGAATTAATAGTTTGGGTCCCATTTAAGAGTCACTAAATTTTGGTCTTTTTCTCTCAATTTCCTAAGGAGGTGGGGATGATTAATATCAACAAATTGTACACTTTTCTGGAAAACAGGCTGAACCTCATAGAAAAGGAATTTAAAAATCTGAGACTGAACATGCAAGTTAACACTGAGCATTTAATATAGCATTGAGCCACTCAGGAAGTCTTGGGTTTATGAAGTGATGGAAAGAATCTCTAAAGCTACTAATTTGGCACCAAGAAGACATTTTAAAAAATCACAGAAGAACACATCTCTAAATAGAAATAAATGCTATCCTAAAACCTTATGTTAAAATTTATTATATCAGCAACTTCTTTCACTGTGAATCATAAGCAATGCTGAGGTTTCTAAAGGCTACAAAAGACAAGAGAAAATTCAGGGAAAAGAAAAAAGCTGGGGACAGGGAGAGTGCAAATAAAATGAAAAAACCTTAAATGGAGAAATCAAATAAATGTAGGTCTACACAGCAAACACTGAAGTGAAGGATTAGCAATTGATCAGCTGAAATGATCTGGGAATTCAGGCAAATGAGAAGTACTACTTGTTCTTGTTTGGAACAATGTGATCTGTGGTCCAACAGCTCTAGGTGCTTAGGCACATTTTGCTTAGGCATATTTTGCTATCTCCAGTTGTCCTAAGATAAGGTAAAAGGAAATAGGTTCTAGTTTTATCCATCCTGTTAAATTTTTCTGAATAATTAGAAAAGTCAAATGACTCTTGATAGTCCTATTTAAAGTGTTAAATGATAATACAAAGACATGAATTATATTTTCTCTTTTTTTAAATCATTAACACAGGCTAATTAAATCAATAATACAAAGATGTGGTATATATACACAATGGAATATTATGCAGCCATCAAAAGGAATGAGATCTTGCCATTTGCAATGACGTGGATGGAACTGGAGGGTGTTATGCTGAGTGAAATAAGTCAATCAGAGAAAGACATGTATCATATGACCTCACTGATATGAGGAATTCTTAATCTCAGGAAACAAACTGAATGTTGCTGGAGTGGTGGGGGGTGGGAGGGA